GTGACACTTGCTAATTTTTCTGCTCACATCAGATGAAATCAGAGGGTTTTACCTTGTGGGAATCTGCAAGATAATAATTCCTGTTAGGAATAAGGAGTGGTTATTGTTTTTAATTAAGTCTCTGTCGTTCTATTTCCCAATAAAGAATCAGGAGTCAGATGTTGGGGTGAAAACCTGCTATCTCAGAGAGGCTGAGAAGCCACCAGCAGCTAGAGAGCCTCTTTCCAGCCATCCCAAACCAGAAACACCACAAAACTCAAGTTTGTACCAGAAATGGAATGTAAAGTTGCAACTTGTGGGTGGTGCCTGTATATTTAGCATGCAGAACCATCAGTAAACCAGGCTGCAATCTTCTCTTCCTCTCTCAGCCCACATGGGGCTATAGGTGTATACTTGGGAGCAGACAGTATTTTAATGGGAGTAGAAACCGTAGGCATTTGGGTAACTTCTTTATGTAATTTGCTCGTGTCTTCAGGACTTACCCAGACCCAATTATGCGCATGCCACTTCCATTTGATAATAGACTGCTGCTGTACACATCCTATTCTATGGTTTGGTGGGCTAGATGATACCCAATTAATGATGGCATGCTCAGGTGAAACGATAAATTGATGGCCCATTGTCAAATGCTCAGTTTACACTAAGACCCAATTTCAGGCCAAAAATTGTCTCTCAAAGGGAAAATAGTTGCCTGCAGGTAATGGTAGAGCTTTGCTCAAAAATCCCAAAGGTTTCTTCCATGATTCCCCTGTAGGAGCCTGCCCAATGCACAAAACAACATCCCTATTTACCACCCGCACCTTCTGTAGCATCGTATCCACTGGCACATGTAGTGAGATAGTCCTTCTGTGGCACTGACCACGCCCATTGGGGGGTGGAGCCATGGGCGGAAGTGACCTGTGGAAGGAAGTCGGAGGGAGAGCCGGGAAAAGCTCTCTTGCTGGTGTGACTCGGACAGGAGAGGATCGGGTTGAATTTCCTGGTGTTCATCTGTCTAGGTTGTAAGTTATTTCTCCCTGAATAAACACCTATTTGGCCTATTTGTTTATCCTGATCCTTATTTAACCGCGATAGGCACATATATGGTTCAAGTAGCAGAGTCGCCTACACAGCAGCGTGGACCTGCTGAAGAGGTTCTAGCACTCCAGGCCGCACTCAAACCTCGCAGCTTTCTGAGCCACTTGGGTATGTGGGCCAGAATAATACATCCAAATGAAGAATGCGCTGTCGCCATAATGCAAATAGGCCCACTAGATGTTGTACTCCCTGATGGTTGGCCAGGTGCAATATCTTGTGTTTCCCCTTAGAAGGGGTATTTCTCTATGCCACATGCCACCCTAAGAATTTCACCGGAGCTGGAAAGCCTGTGAATTTTGTTTGGGTTTATTTCCCAACCTTTGATGCACATAATTTTTTTTGCCAAGAAGTCAAAAGTGGTTTATCCTCTTGCCCGCTTGGCCCAATCAGCATACTGTCATAAATACAGCAAACCAATGTGACATTTTGTGGTTAAGACGGGTGATCAAGATCACTTCAATGTTAAGTTATGACACAGGGCTTAAGATTTAGTATATTATAGAGGTGAAATTGTAGAGGTATACTGTCCTTTCCAAAAACATTGATTCTCTTGGTCCTCAGGGACAGGTACCAATAAAAAAGACATTTGCTACATCGATAGCTACATACCATGATCAGGAGGTGTGTTAATCTGCTAGTGTGGAGACACCATCTATGATACAGAAGCTGTAACTGGTATCACCCAGGGACTCTTCCTTCCTCCCTTGTCTTTAGAAACTATATTGTAAAATATGAGTTATTTGTAAAAAGCTTGGTTAATAGGCAAGAAAAGTGGATGAGACCTCCAGAAATGGCTTCTATTTATCTCTCTGAATTTTCTATTGTTTTCCTTAATCCTCTTCCTGAGTTTTAACTCTAGAAACTTACCATCACGAACAAAAATGCCAAAATTTAAGATATGAGAAACTGATGAGGTTTTAGATAGATGAAACCAGTAATGGATATGAATATATAGTATTTACGTTTTAGCTTCTACAACTCAACAAGAATGGACTCAGCCTAAAAATATACTAGATATTGTAACTCTCCTAATAATACAAATACATATTCAATATAGAAATACTTTAAGGAGTTTCTCATGTGACTTTGATTATACTATTTGAACCATATTTCGGTTTGCTGGATAAAATGGAATCATTGTGCATTCTTATTTATTTTTATTTATTCTGTATGATAACCCATACAGAAGAACAATCTGAAGTATCACGTATCACTCTTTTTATTATGGATACACACACACACACACACACACACACACACACATATTAAAAGTTTCTATTTTAATCATTAAAATACCCAGATCAGTGAGTGATATTAGTGACATCCACATTGTGATGCAAACACCATCATCATAGATTTCTAAGTTCAAATGAAACTGTACTCATTAATCCTTAGTCCTCCACTTTCTCCCAAACCCAGCATCTATCTACCATTCTGTTCTCTGTATGTATACATTTGCATATTTTTATGGGTTAAATGTTTGTGCCTGTCTTGGTTAGGGTTTCTATTGACATGAAGAGACTCCATGACCATGGCAACTCTTATAAAGGAAAACATTTAATTGAGATTTAGTCCATTATCATCATCATGGTGGGATACAGCATCCATTATCATCATGGTGGGACAAGGCAGCAGGAAGCATTTAGTGTGAAGTCTATCAAGAAAGCCCTGTGATGTTGATTCTCTCTTGAGGACCTCCCACCCAGTCCTGGACTGGGTGCTTTGTTATGGGTCTGGGATCATTCAGAGATGCACAATATGACAACCAATATGGTTTTAATAATAAAAAGATGCCTTTGATTAGAAGTACTGTCCAGGACCCAACCACAGACTCAAAGTCCTCTAGGTAAGGCCTTAGCTATGGTTAGTCTAAGAATTCCAAAACCCACCAAATTACAAATTGTGGAAGTCATGTTAATTCATATCCTGTCTGGGTGAGGGTAAAGCTTAATTTAAAAAAAAAAAAAAAAAACAGGTGTCAAGCTGATGCCTCCACTATCCTGAGTAAGCAAGAATTTCATGAGTAGAACTTAGCAGCTAGCCTGTTAGTTGGGCGACCCATTATCTTGTAAGAGTAACTGAAGTAGTGGAAGATTTTAGAGCAGTCAGCAGTTTTTAAAAATAGCTTAATTGCTAAAGGAAGTCATCCATTTTGGGTAAGTTAGCTGATAGAGTACATATTTCTCAAGATAGCAGCTTCCTCATGCTTATAAACTAAAAACAACTTTGTTTTTACAAGTTGTCCCAGCACAGTAAATTATCCTCTAATCATTACAGCATTATAAAAAAAAATCTTTTCAATTCAGTACTCTGTACACTTTCATGAATTCTTTCTGAATTTTATCAGGAATTCAGATACAATGGGTAGGTGAAAGTATCTATTTGTCCTTTTCACCCTGAGGCCTTAACTTTAAAAGTCTGAGCCTGTAGTTAGGAAGGAGTTGGTGAACTACTTGTAACTGTAAATATCTGTCTTTTCTGGGATTGGCATTGCTTGCCGCATGACATTGTAAGCAAAGATAAACCAGTTAAATGCTGTAGGACCCTTGCCACTGACTGACCCACATGCAGTAAGAAGTTGGCTCACTAAGCATAATAGAGAGAAACACAGTCCTTTCTTTCTGTTTAAATAACCAGATGCCTACACAATGATAGTGGTGCATGCTAAATCTACTTATATCTTATCTGTGTGTGTGTGTGTGTGTGTTTAAATCTAGGAATAAATTCACTGTTTAGCTTTGGATTTCTTGATGTCGTCTCAAGGGATCTAACTTTTAATTTTGCTGTTTTTCGTGTCTATAGACTAATGTTTTGAACCCAAACACTCATGCCCATCCCAACTCTTTGGAGAACTTCAGCCCTTTTCAATATACAGACTGTGGGAATACGATGGACAGACCAAATAGAGTCGTATGTTAGTGACATTGACTTGGTCACTCACACTTGACAATGGCTTTGTTGGGGCTCTAAAAGAAATCCAACCACCTGGCTGTCCGTATCTCATAATTCTGGACCCAGGTAGGCCAGGAGAGATCAGTTCCTTGAGCCCAAACAGAAGGGTACAATCAAGAGAAAAATGCCTGGTCAAGAGCAGCAGGGGTTTTCTGGAAAGGAAATTTCATCCTTGCTGTCATTGCCACCAAGTGGCCGGTGATGGGGAGGGACGGTCCTGAAGCAGTGTGCTCAGGTCTGCCTTCTCTCTGTGTAATTTCACGTCTGTGCTGACTCTTGTTCAAGTGGGCTCAGACCACAGGCCACAGAACACTGAAGAATTTTATCATCTGATTTGTGGCACAGAGGATACTACTTCTTCATCTGTAGACTACATGGACACTTTCATTCCATATAACCATGGCAGAATGGGTGCTTAACTGGGCTCTATAGCCCTGACCAGACGAGAAGCATTTAACCCTAGGAGGCCACAGATGATGTCCCTTATCATGAAGGATGCTCAGGCACCAACATGACCTGTTCTTACAGAATGGGAACACCCGATCCAGTGGACAACATTGTAAGAGTTTCTGTACGGACACATTGATTTCTTTTCTCTCTTCTACATAAATATTAACTAAGTCTCTCTCTCTCTCTCTCTCTTTATTTCTCTCTCTCTCTCTCTCACACACACACACTCACACACAATTGTGCCCTCATGCTGTATTAAGGGATGAACTATAAAAGGAAGTCCCATTGTCATTTTGAAATCAAACTTTATTTTTGAATATGTAAATTTATACATTCTTTTAAAAAATGAAAAATTTAGATTTTTTTTTAAATAAGAGAGTCATGGCTGCAAATCTGCTCATGGCTCTAATATTTATGAATTTAATTCACATAAAGCACGTCTAGGCCCTCAGTGACTCCAGTGTCATTCTCCACACAGCAGAGGCTGGTCTGCGAAGAGGAAAGTTCTCCACGGTGCATGCTGTCCCCAGTCCACGCCCTCCTTCTTGCCACCCAGCACCTCACACAATGGGGTATGTGGCATGAGTAGCAATTCCACAGTGGTTGTTCCAGTCTTTGGCTATCTTCATGTAGCCTTTCATGCCCCATTCTTCACCCCAGCTGGAAGATGAGCAGGTTCACCATTAAATAGGAAGGACACAGCACAAGAGGTTCATTACAATAACTTCCCTTAAGCACAAAGCCAGAAACCACACTTAGTCAAAAGATTCAGAAAAGGCAGACACTCGTCTCCTGGATACCAACAGTTGCATGACACAGGACTCTGAAAATCACTGCAGGGAAAGGACAGGATGTCTTCTACCTACATGTGGTACAGAACTACAGGTACATCTATCTAAATACTGACTACAATAGTTGCCTTTTCAATTTCAAATGCAAGTGTTTTCTGAAATTTTTACCTGTTTTTGACCAGCCAGTAACTATTGCCATCCGATTGTTCTCCTTCAAAACCATAGCCGACCACCAGAACAGCGTGATTTAGGTGAACCCTCCTACACTGTGGCTCATAATAGATGCCTAAAAAATAAAACCAATGCCGGGATGAGAGGCTCCGGCGATCTCGCAGGACCCATGCCGTCTACAATAAAAGAAGTATTTCTAAGTTTATTGAAAAGACATACACACCAGGTAAGACTAAACAAAAGGCTTCCTTGCTATCAGAGCTAAAGCTGTAAGCTCTCAGGTAAATGGACCAGAAACAAAATTTAGCTGTCACAAAACCTTTGGGAAAATGGTGGCTGGCATGCATATAAGAAATCATATTGATTTACTTGTAGGTTAATCCAAGCAAAACCCACAGAAAACAAAAAATTATTGGAATTGAAGGTTTCTTATAGAAATTATCTACATAAATGAAATATCTCATTAAAATCTTAAAAGTAAAATGGCTGAAGAAAATTCAGGTAAATTATACCACGTGGAACATTAGGCTAATTTTTTAAAAAACATTCATTGACACTCATTCATGGCATTGTATTGAAGTAATGTAAAATAGTAAATTCATATAAAATTCCTGATATAGAGTGTAAAATCCACAAATGGAAACATTTACTTCAAATGTTATCTAAGAAAGAAATCGTGAAATTGATTTGTCATGGTGGCAGTACAAGTTTTGTGCATGGATTTCTAGAAGGATGACACTTACCACTCTCATAGAACTGGAAAGAAATATGGCTGGCATCAACAGCAACAGAGATGGGCCCCACCTTAGCCACCGCCTTCATAAGGGCTTCCTCATGTCTTGGGATTTGCACAAAGTCCTTGACATTAGCAGCAGAATTCTCAGCTTGATACCTGCACTTTGTACCCTTTTAAAGTTAAGGGGAAAGAAATTCATTCATTGCCATCCACCTCCTGGAGAACATGCTCTAGAACCACAGAATTCAGCTCACTGCAGATGAGGACACCCAAGTCTGTTCTCTAATAAAATATTCTAGGAAGTGAAATTCTACTGGGACATTTGGTGCTGAAAACTAGCTCACGTGTTTTGAGTGACTCCATTGGTCTTCTGTCCATAACAAGTATTCACAGTGAAAAGATCTGTACTTTGTGGGGTGGTTTTCCTATTCTCTCTGTTCACAGCAGCAAGAAAGGGTCCTTGGAAAGCATCCCCATCAAATAACCATACAGAGGCTAGTACCGTCTAGACTGCAGGGATAGCCTACAGACAGATTCGACTACTTTAATGGGAATGCCAGAGAAATGCTTTGAGATTCTCTTCATCTATCATGGTGCTGATGGTGGGCTCCCGGCACAATGCCTTTATTATGTTGACCTATGTCCTCTGGAGCCACAGATTCTCCAGGAATCGTATCAGGAAGCAATGTTGGATTTTGTTACATGTCTTTCCTACATTTGTGAAATATCATGTGGTTTCTGCCCTTGAGTCTATGTGGTGAATTACAATTACTAACTTAAGTATATGCACCAACCCTGCGTGTCTGGGATGAAGCTGTCTTGATTGTGGTATATTCATTAGATGTGTTTCACAATTTCGTTTTCTGGGATTGTGATGAGCATTTTTGCTTCTGATTGGTTAGAGAGATTAGCTTATAGTATAGTTTAGTCTTTGCCTGGTTTTGGTAATGAGGTACTGCTGCCTTCATAAACAATTGGGAGCTTTCCTTCCCTTTTACTTTATAGAGGAATTTAAGGAGAATTGTTCTTAGTTTGCTGTGGAAGGAATGGTGAAATTCTGTGCTAAATCCATCCATCCCTGGGGCTCCATTATAGGTAAGAAATTTTTAATTATATAATGAAGGTCAGTTGTGTAGGATCATATAAGTTATTTACTTCATCTTGATTTAACTTTGATAGGCCACATGCAGAAACTCACCCATCTCCTTTATATTTCCCATTTAGAGAAATATAAAAAAATTTAATGTATAGCCTTTGGCCCACTGAATTTCTCCAGTGTCTACTGTAATCTTTCCATTTTCACACCTAATTTTAGTAATTTTTGTCTTCTCTCATTTTCTCTTAGTGAATTTGACTAAAGAAGTTTCAATCCTGTTAGTATTTCCCAGGACCCAATTCCTCATTGCATTTAAGCCTCAACTAGAGCAATAGGACAAGAGAAGGAGATGAAGAGAAAACAAATAGACAAGAATATAGTACTCTGAACAGTATCCTCATTTGTAGATTTTGTTTTCCTACACACCCAGGCCCATGAAGACTCTACCCAAAACATCCCTATAGCTGATAAACACCTCCAGCAATGTATCAAGATACAAAGTCAGAACACAAATATCAGTGTGTTCGGATTCGTGCCCCACCAATACACCACCACCAAACACACTGAGAAGGGAATGGGGGGGCAGTAGCATGCATAAGAGTAGCAAATGTTTTGGAATAAGCCTAGCCAAGCTAGTGAAGACTGACATGGTGGAAACGTCAAGAGATTGATGAAGATACCAGAAGATGGACAGACACAACCAGTTCCCATGCTCACATAGGGTCAAAATTAAGAAAATGGCCATTTTGCCAAAAGATTCCATGCAATCCGTATCAAAACTCCAATGCAATTCTATACAGAAATTGAAAGAAAACAAAAACAAAACAAAACAAAAACCCCTAAATTCCCACGGAAGCACATGCACGCACTAAAACACACCCACACACCCAAACAAACAAGCAAATAAATGAAACAGGATGGCCACAACAATTTTGAGTAATAAAGACCATCACTCCTGATTTAAATCTTATCACAGAGACACAGTAATGAGACCAACATGGTAAGTGGCACCCAAAATGACACATATACAACAATGGACTGGACCACATATAAATAAACCTACTTTCTTAGCCAAAGAACCCAACAATACCAGTTGGAAAAGAGGCAGAATCTTCAACAAATGGTCCTGGTCAGACTGGACAGCTACACAAACCAGATTAAATTAGATCATTATGCCTTACCCTGCACAAAACTCATCCCAGAGTGGATCAAGGACCTCAACATAAAACCCAATAGCCCAGATTTGTTAGAGGAGAAAGTAAGGAAACACTTCAAGCTAGACACTTAGGGAAGCACTTTCTGAACAAGGCCCCTAGTAGCACAGGGCATTAAGGCCAACAATTTAGAAAAGGATCTGAGGACTCAAGGGCAAGCAGGACAGGAAAACTCACCATTCCGGAGTGATCGCGTAAAGCAGTGTGGTGTGGAGTCTGGGGTGACAGAGGAAATAGGCCAGGGGGTCCCACAGGGACCTGGAAACTCTCCACAGAGGCAGGAGCTGTGTGGAACACCCCAGGAAAGTCACCATTTGGAGATGCATGATGGAACAGTAGTTAGGGATGTGGAACTCAGGTCTCACACTGACTAGTCAAGCCTGCTCACCGGTGCTAACAGTGAGGCGAATGGAGAGGCCGAAGCTAGGGTTACCAGTGCAAGAAGAGATCAGCCGCTACTCCTGAGATGGAGAGTCAGACAGGAGCAAGAGGAGAAAGGGCTGCTTCTCGGGGAAAGTGTGTCCCAGGGTCTGTTGTCGATGAGCCGAGAATTCTCCCAGAAGCAGTGGGAATGTTTGGACTCTGCTCAGAGGGCTTGTAGCGATGATGGAGAGTTATAATAGTCTGGCTACGTAATTAAGTTTGGATCAAGATTCAAAGCGCATATCCATCAGCGTGTGAGTATTCAAGAGAAGTCGTACATGGAATGAAGTGAGCAAAGCGTTTCATGAATCCTCCAGTTCACAAAACAAGTAACTCTTTAGAACTCTGTAGTAAGTACGGATGTAGTTGTAAGGACTCAGGCACTATGCTGGCCTGCCCCTGTTGCCTGGCAGAACGCGCTCAGGCAGTGCCCTGGTCAGCCCAGGGTTCCATGACTACTAGTCTACACTCAGGTGGAAAGGACCCCTTTACAAGAAAGATCCCACCCACTTATGGTCTCTGTCCACCCTTCTCTTTCTTTCCTGCTGACCCCTGAGCCAGACAGAACTTTTCCTGTCTCTTCTCTCTCTGTCTCTGTGTCTTTGTGCCTCTTTACCTCTTTTCTTTTTTTACTGTCTCTCCCAATTTCCCTTTCTAATAAAACTTCTCACTTAAGCTCTGTCTGCCTGGCATGTTTGTCCGATCTCCTCGGTCACCCTCACCCACCATGGAATCCATCAAGGTTCCCCCTTGTGCTTTATTATAACGGTGATAATCACAGGAATGCTTCTGTTGAATTCTTAAACTCCAATAGATGTAAAAAGCATACTCACTGGAAAGGAACTTTGAAATGTAAAGACTATGACAAATGTTTAAATTTGTATGCCGACATTAGTCAGGACCCAAGAGTCCCCACAGGAAGAAAGCACAGATGTGAAGATTGTGGTAAGTCTTTTGACCCCACACAGACTCCTGCAGCAAAAAAATCTACAGTGGAGAGAAACCACATAAAGGTAGGAAGTGTGGAAAATGCTTCAGGAGCTCAAGTTCAGGTGAGGGATTTCATCCTGGAGAGAAACCACAGAAATGTAAAGAATGTGACAAGTAGAGTCACACCTTAAAACTCCTTACCAAATGTAAGGAATGTGACAAATCATTTACTTGACACTCAAGTCTTAGGACACATCAGATAATTCAGTAGAGTGATAGCCTGTGATTGCAAAGAATGTGGTATGTTCTTTGGTCTGAAGTTACACCTTAAAATTCTTTATAGAACCCACACTGGAGAATTGCTGACATCTAAGCTTCATTTAAGTCAGAACAGCTCCATGCTGCCCTGTTAGCAAAAGGTTATAGATAATTTGTTGTAACTGTTGCTGCTGCATCAGGACTGATGAACAGGAGACAAGAGTCAGGGAAGTTGGGTAGTTCCCTTAATCATCTGGGGACCTCAACCACCTGGATACCCTGATTTCAAGTCAGATGTTCTGTAGGTCAGAGCTCCTCTGCTGATGCCACACAGGTCGCCTCTCTTGATGGCCTTTAGGAAACTATACTAGTTCAAGACAGAGTTCCAGTTTCAGGCACAATAATTCTGCCATTGTGACCACAACCTTCCTCTTATTTCTTAACAAAGATTATTCCCTTCATTTTATAACCATTTAAAAACACAGCCCTCATCCCTCAAGCAAGATTTTCTCTTGGAACCCTTCCAGTCTCAGGAGCTAATGTTTCATTTTATTTGTAATAAATGTTGGCTGAATCTCTCAAATCATTGCACCTGGGTTTCATGTTTCATTGCCTACAGATAGAATTCTGCGATCACAGTGGCTTATGGGTACAGCCTCTGCAGCCCTCTGCTTGTTGCTGTTACAAATCCACTCTATTGGCAAGATACCGTTAATATCGTGTTCCACGAATGATTTGTGACCCAGGAGAATTTAGTTACTGTAATACAAATGCAGCTGATCTTTCCTTTGGAGTAGGGAAGAGGAAAGCATTCACATTGAGGAAGGTGTGCTGGAAGCCACTCCTTGCTCTCCTGATCGTTTGCAAGGAAACATTTTGTGAGCCTGGCATGGTTATGCATGCCTTTAACACTAGCTTTTGGAAAGCAAAGGCTGCCGCAGGTAGGAGAGCTTGGTCCATGAAACATGACTCGCAGTCTGCAATGTGAATTTTCTGCAAGGGACACGGGGGACCCAAAGAGTGTGCAAGAACCTCTGAGGATCCCGAGTGCCTCTTGTGCTGTTTGTATTAGGGGCAATCACATGCAAAGATACTGCACAGTCATTAAATGTGTTTACAGGGAATAAAAGCTTTGTTAACAGGTCATCAGGAGGAACAAAGACAAGGAAGTAAGGGCAGAGAAACATACGCAAACAAACAAACAAAAAGCTCATACCTCTTAAAAGCTAGCACATTGCCAAATGGTTGGTGTGGAAATGGTTCTTATACAGACCATTTCCCTCTGTCATTAGTGTGACAAGAGTCAGAGAGCTCCTAGACACAGAATGAGTTTCTTTCTCAGACTATGCCGTTGGCTAGAGAGTTCAGGCAAACGGCTGCGTGAGTTCACAGCCAGCCTGGGTTGTGAATGAACTGTGTAAGTGCGTTGCCAGCCAGGGCTTCGTAGTAAGATGCTGTCTCAGAACCAAACCAAACAAGGGAGCATTTTACAAGCTGGTGAAAAATCTTTCCAAATGCATGGAACTGTTGATTGCTGTCTCTGTAAAGTAGAATGGATGTGATGTCCTCAGTACACTTTACATGGAAAAAGTACAGATGTGAGAGGAAAGTGAAAGCTAACCTGGGGGAAATGTGTCATTGTGTATCTAGTGTGGCCCCACAAAACTCACCCCTTTGCCTGGTGCTTTGGGAAGATAATGACCTCCAGGTTTCCATAGCATAGTAATGTTTTCCTTCTACGCCTATAATTTGTATTTTAAAATAATATCACATATTTTTTTAAAGGTTTCAAAACTCTGTGTAAGTGGATTTCATCTTAAATGAAACAGATGTTTTAAATAATTTTATACGAAAATTCAATGAGTAAATGTGATCTCAACTTCTATTTCTTTTTAATGTGTTTTTTTCTCATTTATTACTTTTTATGTATGCTAGTTTTGCCTACTTGTATGTCTGTGCACCACATGCATGCCTGCAGAGGGCCCGTGGCTGGTCTCAGATTTATAGCTTTGCTATAAAAGCTGCCATATGGGTGCCTTAATCAAACCCACGACCTCAGGAAGTACAGCCTGTGCTCTTAACTGCTTATCTAGCTTTTCCGCCCCACCTCACCTGGTCTAGTCTTTAGAAGGAAGCATACCTAGGACTAGAACCCTTCAATCATGTATGCCGGTGTGATGTTCGCAATTCCCACTACTCAGAGGAAGTTGGGAAGGAAAAGTATTTGGGGGCGACAGAGGTAAAGGGATGGTATAGATTTGATCAAAGCACACTACATGCAAGCATGTAGTTCTTTAACAGCAGAAAATAAATGCATCAACGTCAACGTGAGTTTGAAGAGAGCAGATCGCTCTGCTTTGTTCTGCTTTCCACCGCCTGCGCTGGGACAGCGAGAGCTCAGGAGTTCTACTCACTCGTCCTGTGTAAGGGTAGGACTCTTCAGCTGCCAGGCCGCCGCTATCCATCACGTACTGGAAGGCATACTGCGTGAACCCACCGCTGCAGCCGCCGGTAACGTTAAATCCCATGCAGTCCAGTAGGTTCTGCTCACTCAGAGGGGTCAGTTTCCGTGTTTTCCTGAACATCTGTCCTTCTAGGGCTCCGGTTGCACTAAAAGCCCAACTAGAGGCACAATGACCCTAAAAGGACGGAGAAAAGGCAGTCATTCGTTCACAAGTCTAATAACAGATATCTTTGAACAGTCCATGCATCGATGCATTTACAGAACCGTGAGCTGCGCGCTGCTCCACGGTCTGAAAAGAAGCAAAGATGGCTTTTGTTTCATGGCTTCCTGTGAGTAGTGGGAGTGGGGGGCATCACACCGCCATACCTGATTTTTCACAGGAGTCACGTAGCCTTGCTCTCTCCAGTTCACATGTTTGGGGACAGAAAGAAACAGATGATCCTGGAATATGTGCCCCCTCTTTATCCTCTGCCTTCGAAAGCCAGTCATCCTTTTCCTGAATTCTGTATGGTTCTTCAAGAAAAGTCAGAAAATGGTTGAGGGCATTTGTGGAGAAACAGCGAGTACAAACACAATACCATGCAATTCACTTCACACTCACCAAGTCGCCAAAGGCGTTCATTGCCATGGTGAAGTCATGCTTCCCGGCTAGGTATTCCCAGTTGTGCTTCTCAATCACTTTTAAATTCTTCTCCCACACTGCTCTCCTCAGATTTTCTTCATTCTGGGGGGAAAAAATACAATTTGTGATTTTTTTTTCTTCCCGTCTATTTCAAGTCCAACCCAAGTTAACTCAGTGGACCCTTCTGGTGAAGAGGAGCCATAGCAAAGGATGGCTGTACTCTTCTGGAAGCCATTATCCACACCACTCAGGAGAAATAGAGATCTTTGTCATGCAGTACACAAGATACATGTCTCTAGGTTAAACCTTGAACAGAACTGGATTCCAGGTATTTCAATAATGCACACATACACAAATATACAAAGCTAGGACTGTTCTTTATGGGAATTTCCATGTTACTAACCATGTCGTATGTTTTCCCATGTTTTGTCTTCCATTTATGCCATTCACCATCCAAACTGGGACCTCGTGTTGGGAAAGTTGAGTTGACTTCCAAACAGAGGATGGTTAGGAGGAGGAGAAGAGCAATCATGTCTCATATAGCTAGAGAAAGAGAGGAAATAAGATGAATTCCATCAGTGCTTCAGAAAAGCCTTCTTATTCATACCTAGAAATTAAAACCATAATGACATTATTATTATTATTATTGTTGTTGTTGTTGTTGTTGTTGTTAGGAACTAGCAGCCAGCTGACCCCCGCCCCCGACAATGGACAGGACGCTCATGGCCGTGTCATCGCTATGACAGCCTTACCTGGCTGCCAGAGGACTCAGTTACGCTTGCGCAAGATCCCCTTTTAAAGCAAGCGCGCCAAGCACGTCTCTCTCTCTGGTTTCTCTCTTGCCCCCTCTTGCTCTCTCTCTCTCTGATCCCCCCTGCTCGCTCTCTCTCTCTCTCTCTCTCTCTCTCTCTCTCTCTCTCTCTCTCTCCTGCTTTCGTTTGGCCACCAGCTACTCCCTCTTTCTCTCCCTTCTCTCAATAAACTTCACATGGGCGCTGAGTCTCCTGTTTGTGTTTCTTAGGCATTAGCTGCACAGCAAAAGAACAACAATTATTATGTGCAATAAAATCATTTGAACTGTCCTAAAGACTGTAGTATGGAAAAGGTTAAAGATCTGCTTGGCTTAAAGCAGACACACAGAGGACATTGGTTTATTCATGGAAAGGAAGAGCAAGCGGCCAGGCTGCAGGACCTGGACCGTGTGTGCCCTGTGAACTTAGCTCGCCACAGGGTGTGTATCTAAGTTTAGAAGCTTAACGCAAAGAGTTAAGACACGGTTGGCTCAGGTTTTGTGCTAGTGGTACTGAGGTCACATGAGCAAAATTTTAGTAGTGCAGAATAGGATCCCAAGTAGGGAGAAATACAACCCCAAGAGTTTGGGGGGTGGGCACAAGAAATCTCCTTTTCTTGGCCTGAATGCACCAGGAGATGTCCTGGCTCATGCCCTTCAGACTTTCAGAAACATTCTCTGTGGACCAACACAGAAAGACAACATGCAATAGTTCCTGTCACTTTTACTTTGGAATGTGACTAAAACGTCCATGTCTCTGCCTCAGTGAGGTTCCCATTGCTAAGATCCTGGATGGTAGAGCCACTAGCGCAGGAAGATGACAACAACCAATCAGTCCCAGAGTTCTAGGAGCAGATTTCAAATCATGTATATACAAGCAGCATGAAACGGGCCCGGAATGTTGTGTTCATATATTTACAAAAAACATGTAACCAAGATGGAGAGATGGCTTAGTGGTTAAGAGCACTGACTGCTATTCTAGAGGTCCTGAGTTCAATTCCCAGCAACCACATGGTGGCTCACAACCACCTATAAGATCTGGTGCCCTCTTCTGGTGTGCAGGCAAACATGCAGGCAGAGCACTGTATACATAATAAATAAATATTTAAAAAAATTAAAAAAGAAAAAAAATCATTATGTATGTAACCATCATAGTAAACAGGCAGAGTCTATGAATTTGAGAGAGAGAGTAAGGGAAGGCAAATGAGTTGTTAGAGGGAAAGGATATTGGAAGAGAAAATAATATAATTATATTTTAACTTAAACTTTTTTTTAAAGGAAATGAAGAAAAGGGGCATAAAAACATAAGCTTAGGAAAAATGAAATAAAAATAAAACAGTAGGTGAAAGAGACAAGTTAACAAGGGCATAAAAATGAGGTTGCATTGAAAAGGGAAAGAGAAGGTAAGAATGCATTTTGTACGATAAAAGACTTTTCATTAAGAAGGCTCTGATATGAGAGGAAAACCAAAAAAGATTACAGACAGGTAGGAAAAAAAAAAACTGAGTATGTGTCAGGTATGTGTCAGATGAGATTTATAGATGGCAGATGATTAAAGGTTATTAAAAGTTATAAGGTCAAATCCAATGCACTTACGTCAAACTTTTATTTAAATAAATGGAATTCTCTTGAGATACTGGTTTGCTCATAGTAACATGTAAAATTTGATTTTAAAATTAAAAGCTATGCATAATCAGCATAATTGCTTGTGATTTTGCAGATTTTGTTAGCTTTTAACCATTTGAGTAAATAGTCTTAGCAAAATCAAGATTCATTTAAAATTGTTGACTTTTTGTCTAAATTTATTGAAATGTAACATAAAAGCTAAAATTTGAATCCTGGTAAAGCTATCCTGGGTGGGCAATTCCAAAGCTTAGGGATGTACACCAACAGTGAGCTGGTGGCCAGAGAGAGCACTCAATATTTTGTTCCTTAGAATCTTTGTCAGCTGAGAGGATGGGACCTGTTCTCTTCACTGAGGAATGGTGTCCCTAACCATTCTACTGGACTTCCCTTGCTTCTGAAAGAAGCCATACGGTCAGCAGGACTCTGACCCAGCCATTGAAATGTCACAGCACAGGAGAAAAACTAGAGGATTCAGGGGCTCCTTCTAAGTCACTAGGAGTGAGCTCTAAGAAGTCTCATTAGGCTTTAAATACATATGACATTAGTCTGTGACCACCCAACATGATCTAAACACCCAAGAGTAAAGTGTAACCAGAAATATAAGATGATACCACCAGCTTTGGCCAACTCAAATGCTAATTTTTCTTCTTTTGTTTTTTCAGGACAGAGTTTCTCTGTAAAGCCCTGGCTGTCCTGGAGCTTCTTTTTGTAGACTAGGCTGGCCCCGAATTCACAGACATCTGCTTGTCGCCTCCTCCAGAGTGCTAGGATTAAAGGCATATGCCGCCACTGCCCAGCTTTAAACACCAAAAAATTAATCATCCTTATCTAGGGTGAAACCCTCTTTTCCCGCAAATATGCAAAATGAGGAACAGGAAACTCCTACTAGAACAATCAGTTGAGGACTGATATGCTCTCTTCAAAATGGATCCCCAGGCATAGTGGTCTTCCTTAAGCACTTCCTGTCTCCTTAAGCAGGCAATCATGTTTGCCTCTTTGATATTCAACAACTTGCACCTGCCACGTCACACTCAACATTGGATCTTACTATTTTAACTTTCTTTGATTCTTTGGTCGTTGCTCATTGTATGAATACTGTGAACTTTTTGGTGTGCCATGTGGGTCAGAATTTAAAAGCTTGAAGTAAGTCCTTAGGGTATACTTAGCTTAATATTTGGACCCATAGTGCTGAGGTCACCCTAACAAACCTTTTCTAGCACGACATCTGACCCCGAGTACAGACAAAGGGGACTTGAGGAGTCTGGGCACACGTAACACATCTTTCTAGACTAACCGAACAGGAGATACATTTCACTTCTTGGATGAAAACTTGTTGGTATGTCCCCCTAAAGGATAAAGGAAGGACAACATCCGCTAGTCCCTCTGTCCCACACTTGGGACTGTACCTGAAGACTTTACGTTCACTTCTAAAATATGAAAATATGTCACAAGGACAAGGAACTGGAATCCAGAAACAATAGTGTGTAGGTGAGGTACAAGAGTAGGCCACTCTTAAGACCAGGTTCTCAACAATCCAAGTAGGGCCAGGCAAGAAAATGATTGACACAAGTGAAGGTCACAGCACTTGTGAACAGGTGACAGACACCCTGAACGTCTCTGTGGCCAGGCCCAGACTTGCTCAGATCTGATTATCTCTCAGCTCTCTCTTCCCACTATCCCCTGCTCCCACACACCGGGGCTGAAGAGGCTGAGGAGATGTCCGGCCCGAGGGGTCTTCCCACTTTTCTGAGGGAGTCTACCTAGGGCTGTGCTCCAGTGTGAGTTTCCGATCTACCTTCACTGGCCTAGTGTGCTCACCTGGGATGTCTGCTGCTCCTCAGATGCCCTCCACAGATTGGAGTCTCAGAGGTCCTTGGGTTCCACAGATCTGTCTTACTGCATCTCCCTTATATTTTAACAACTGAGTCTTTGCCTAGGAAGCCCCACCCCTGAGTCCTGTCCTGCCTGAAACTGGATGTGTTAGTGAGTAAACTGACCCTCTAGGCCTCAGGACTCCTCCAGGAATGTATCCACAGCTGATCCCATCCCCTCATGGGGTGGGGCAATTTGTAATGTGTTACTCTTAGGTAATGTGACCAACCGTCCTTGAGACCTTGACTCCCGATTTTGTTTTTTGGATGGTTTATCAATAAAAAATGCTTCCGGATAATTCTGTGTTTAAGTTTTCCTCAACATTGATTTTGCTTTAGAAAAAGTGGTTTTGGTTAAAATATCCTGGAATGGGCTGAGCCAGGACACTCTAGAGCAGTGATTCTTGTTCAAGCTAAGGTAGGACCCTGTGAGTGTACATATGCCAGAGCACATTGGCTTCAGTGTTGGCTAGGACACAGTTAGACGTCATAAGAGTCTTATCAGAAGGCTGTCTTCAGTCAGGAACGAGAAGGTGAAGGTCAGTCCTAGATGGGAAAAGGAACAGATGGGATACCAGGTTTCCTCACACTGCCTGGCATTTGGAATGACTTTCCCCTGAGCCCTCACTCAGGAGTTATCCCTCTTTAGCAAATAAGGCCTGAAATATGAGTCATTTGCAGAAAAGCGTGAGTACTAACTTCAGAAAAGTGATCAAGGGAAACAGCTTCCATTTTGCCCTTTGCAGTTTAGTTTTTTTTGTTTTTCTCGATATTCTAGAACCGTATCTTCATGAGCCTTAATATCGGAATTTAAG